CCCCCCTGAGTGGGGCTTGACAGTGGGCTGAAGGGAGAAGGGGCGTCTGGGGGATAGTGGAGCCCAAACTGGCTTCCGCTGAGGCAGGGAGACCCCCTGTACAGAGCCGGGGTAGGGGGGACTTGTGCGGGCTGTCCTGGGTGTGAGAAATGCATGCCATGATTCCCAGGGTCCCAGTGGGCCGGCCATGAGCACGGAAGCACTGCGCAGGGGAGGCACAGGGAAAGGGCAGGACGGCCCCACCTTCAGGATTGGGCCCCCTAAACCTACTCACCACCTCCCTCCCCCCCCCCTTCCTCCTTCCCATAGGGGGTCCCCCTCCCAGCACTCCCAGCCACACTCACCTTCAAATCTTCTCCCCCCGGACCCTGAGGTGCTCCCAGGGCATGGTGAGGAGAAACAGGGAGCAGAGGGGTCAGCCGGGGCCCCTTCACCACCCTAGGCCCCTCCAACCCTGACCATCCCACAGGCCAGAGCTTGGCCTCCCACTCACCCAGACTGCCCTCCCTGCCTCCAGATGCAGCAGGGACTGAGGCAAGTCCTTAGTCTCTGCCCATCTACAGGCGTCCGGGTCTCAGACCTGAGGCAAGGGCTTTGCATTGGCCTGTCAGGTCGCAGTCATGCCCACCCTGCACAGGACCCTGTGTGGGGCCAGAGAGTCCAGCCTAGGCTGGCTGTATGTGGGTGGCCACCTTGCCCGCCATCCTATCTTCCTCTCCGCCCTGAGCTTATGAGTCAGCATCTGCCATCCTCACTGGAGGTGGCTCTGAGGACCATCCCCCCGCCCCCCAGGGCCCTTCAAGGTCAGCGCACAGCTGCCAGTCAGCTGCCCATCCGGTAGGGTTTGGGGACCCAGGCCCACCACTTCATCCAGCTGGATAATAGCTGACCTGTCCACTGGGAACAGTCTGCGCACTCCTGGGTGACCACGGGCCTGAATGACCCAGACCTTTAACACGGTGAGACAATGCAGCTCACACAGTGGACAGGCCCTAGACTTCTGACAGGTCCACTAGGGGCCTCCTAGAGCACCCCCAGGGCTCCCGGCTGCCCACGTCTCCTCCAGGAGTGCCAGGAGAAGGGGTCCTTTCACCCCAGAGCCGCCCCTCTCACATCCCCCGACCTTGTCTCACAGCTGGAGGGGGCCCAGCACCACCAAGAGCAGCCAAGGGCTGCCTCCAGAGCAGACCACCAGGGGCGGAGACGCTGTGGGCCACCGCATGGGAATGGGACACCTCCCCACGTGCAGAGCACAGGTGCACCCCAAACTGGGCCGCGTAAACCTTAACTCTTGAGCCAGCACAGCAGGTAGGGAGTTTGCCTTGCACACGGCTGACCCAGGTTCGATTCCCAGTATCCCATATGGTCCCCCGAGCACCACCAGGAGTAATCCCTGAGTGCAGAGCCAGGAGTAACCCCTGTGCAACACCAGGTGTGACCCAAAAAGAAAATAAATAAAATAATAATTTCCTTGGTACTGGAGCAATAGCACAGTGGGTAGGGCGTTTGCCTTGCACACGGCTGACCCGGGTTCGATTCCCAGCATTCCAAATGGTCCCCTGAGCACCACCAAGGGTAATTCCTGAGTGGAGAGCCAGGAGTAACCCCTGTGCATTGCCAGGTATGACCCAAAAAGCAAAAAAAGCAAAAAAAAAAAAAAAGAATTCACTGCTCCAAAGGGCTAGAACGTTCGTACCTCAGAGAGGGCTCTTGCCTTGCTCATGGTCTACCCGAGTTCAAGCCTGGCCATTCCATCGGGTCCCCTCCCCTGCCCTAGCACCACCATACATAAAAGTTTTTATGTAGCACTGTCCTCCCATTGTTCACCGATTTTCTCCAGTGGGCCCAGTAACGTTTCCATCGTGAGACTTGTTGTTACTGTGTTTGGCATATCAAATACGTCACGGGTAGCTTGCCAGGCTTTGCCATGTGGACTAGATACTCTTGGTAGCTTGCTGGGCTCTCCAAGAGGGGTGGAGGAATCGAACCTGGGTCGGCCAAGTCGGCCGCGTGCAAGGCAAATGTCCTACCCATTGTGCTATAAAGTTTTTATATATAAATAAAAATTCTGTATTATTAGGGGGAGCATGCACCCATCTGAGCCTGCGGGGCCGCGGTGGATGTTCCCGGGCGGGGCAGTAGTGTCCTGTCCAGGTGCTGGCGACCGGGCCGAGCACGCGCCTTTTCCCTCAGAGCCCCCAGAATGCCCTGTGTGCTGTCAGCTCTGCTCTAAAAGTGCTAGTACTTGAGACCTAGTACTGCCTCAGCAGTGCTAGGTCTCAGTTGCAGGTTTAAAACAGGATTCAGCAAAGGGGGTTGCCAACCCTTGGTGCCCTGAAGGGCCATCACCATGTGTGTCCCGAGCACAGGCCCAGTCAGTCAGCCCTGCCCTCAGGGCCCGGCGTTTCCTGAATGGTCAGTGAGTGTCACCTCCTCAGTGACCTGGAGGACCCCGTGGCTCCTCTCTGCGTCTGGTCAGGGGGACGCTCCCCTCCCCTGCCCTCCCAGCCCTTCAGGGAGTCTCTCCCATCCCTGGCCCTCCCAGCACCTCCACCAGCTCCATCTTCTCTCGGGCAGCTCCACACTCTCTCGGCCTGCAGATAACTGAGGAGAGGCAGAGCCTCACCCTGGCCCAGGCTTTGGCCTCAGGACCCACTGCAGCAGGTCTAGGATTCCATCCACGTCAGCCGCGAGGACACCTTGCCTCCTCTCATTTTGCTCCCTCGAGAAGCCCTTCTGGGTCATCACTTTCTGTCGCCTTCTAGAATGTTCCCTTCGCAGTCACCACTTGGCTGGCCGTTTTTTCAGACTTGCGACCTGCCTTCCTCACTCAGCTTCTTCGTTCCTAGCTTTGGGTGAGCAGGACATGAGAGAGAGATGAGGGGCTCTTCGCGGGGGGCAGTCATTGGCCCAGTTCCCTGCTGCTGCGTGTCAGGAGAGACAGGGACAGACACAGGCGGGGGGTCAGGGCGCCGGACACAGCCGAGGGCAGGAACGTGGTGCTGTGTGACTGTGGTGGCCAAAAATCTGGTTTCCATCTCAAGCCTGTGCTGGGAGTGAGGACACGTGTCTCCGTGTGTCTCATTGTATGTCCCAGTGTGCCTTAGTGTGTCCTGGTGTGTCTCAGTGTATCTTGGTGTGTCTCAGTATGTGTACCTGTGTGTCCCGGTGTGTCCCAGTGTGCCCTGGTATGTCCCAGTGTGTCTCAGTGTGTCCCGGTGTGTCTCAGTGTGCCCTGGTATATCCCAGTGTGTCCCGGTGTGCCCTGGTGTGTTCTGGTGTGCCCTGGTGTGCCCTGGTATGTCCCAGTGTGCTCCAGTGTGTCCCAGTGTGCCCTCGTATGCCCGGTGTGTCGTGGTGTGTCCCGGTGTACCCTGGTGTGTCCTGGTATGCCCTGGTGTGTCCCAGTGTGTCCCAGTGTGCCCTGGTGTGTTCCACTGTGTCCTGGTATGCCCCAGTGTGCCCTGGTATGTCCTGGTGTGTGTCCCCCTGTGTTTCTTAGTGTTTGTCGTAGTGCATGTCTCAGTGTATGTCTCAGTGTGTGTCCTGGTGTGCCTCTGCGAGGACCCGGCGCACAGGTGACCACCTTCCCCTCGTGGGCCCCACACCCTGCTCGGCTGCACCATCACCTCTGGTCACTTCTTGCCCCCCCCCCCGGTCCCCCTCGTGGCCTCCAGGTCCCCACTGCCGCAGCTCAGGATGGGCACAGCACCTGCAGGACCCTCCCTGTGGCAGGGTGGGGTGTTGGGGGCGGGGGCGGGAGAAGGGAGCAGGAATCACCCTGCGGCACCCAGGCAGCGAGTGTAGACCAGGGGCGGTTGCCTGGAAGTGGGTGTGACATGAGAGTGGGGGCACTTCAGTGGGGGTCACAGAGGGCACACCTGATGTCCCTGCAGGTCAGCGACCCCCTGGGGCGGATGGGGGTGGGACAAGCGTGTCTGTAGAGGTGAAGGGGTGGCTGCTTTGAGGGGCCCATGTGTGGGCACCAGTCCTGGTAGCGGCTTCCTGCCTGGTGTACCCTGGTGCACCAGTCCTGGTAGCGGCTTCTCTGGGCCGCATCTTGGGAGCTCTGTGACATTTCCCGTCACTGCCCGTAGTCATCCTGCGTCTCTGGCATCACCGTGGCCACTGTGGGCTCCACCCGCAAGGGGCGCTGCTCCCCAGCTGCCCCAAAGCACCAGATGAACCGTGACCCGCCTTCCCTCGGCCCCCCAGGGGCAGGGTGGTGGGGAGGAGGGGGAGCAGGGCAGCTCCTGGAGTGAGACGGCACAGTCCCTGCCCAGGGGCGCCCCCTCCTGCCTCTCCCCTCCACCTCCCCATCCTCCCTTTCTCTCCTGCTTCTCCGTATCCTCCTGGAGTGCAGAGGGTCCCCCACCACCCACATGCCAGCGTTGAGGGTGTGGGGAGAAAAGACCACCACTCCCCAGGGGGCCTGTCCCCAGAGCTTCCTCCAGCCCCTCCCGGAAAGCCACCACAGGGAGGGCCCGTGTCTGCCCACCCTGTCCCCGCCCTGTCCCTGCCCTGTGCTCTGACCCTGCCCTGTGTGCCCACCCTGTCCCCTCTGTCCCTACCCTGCCCCCCCATCCCTACCCCGTCCCCACCTGTCCCCACCTTGTCCACCCCCCTCCCCATCTGATGACCAGCCAAAGGCCTCCCCCGGCATCCGGGCTGCGCGGCTGCTCTTCTCTGCTGCCTTTGGTGACAGTCACCTGAATTTGGACATGACGGGTGGGAAAGGAACAGCCCCTCCCCTGCCCCCGCCCCCCGCCTCTGCTTTCCTGGGGACCTGCCCCCGTGCCCTGTGACCTCAGCTGGGCACAGCTGGGGTCTCCTGTGTGTCCTGTGGCTTCTGCTCTGGGCCAGACATCACCTCCAGCTCCAAATGAGCACCTGCATGGCTGCCCACGGCCACGCCGCTCTCAGATCGTGCGCGCGTGTGCCCAGTGGGTCCTGCCCCGCCCAGCACAGAGCAGCCGCCCTAATCGAACTCTCTCCCACAGCCATGGACGGCGTGCCTTTCATGATCTCAGACAAGTTCTCCTGCGTGCCGGAAAGCGTGAGTGCCCCCGGGGTACGGGGGGAGGGGTGTCCGCACCCAACCTTTCCACCAGACGGGTCCTTGGGTCTGGCACTGCTGGTGATCGGTGACCGTCCCAGTCACTGGGGGGCAGAGCAGAGGCTGCCTCAACTTCCCCACGGTGCTGCCAGACCAGTGTGGCCCTTCTCTCCAGAGGTGGGGGCACCCCCACGGCCCCACGAGTCACATGGGCCTCCTCGGGCCCCGCTGCACCCTCAGCTCCTTCCAGTGATGGGGCCCCGGGGTCTCAAGGATGAACTCAGATCTCCCAAGCTCATGGGGCCGCACGCCCCCTGCCCCCGTGGCCACGCCAGCCACACAAGCGGGTCCCTCATCTGTTTCCAGTCCCCTCTGCCCAAGTTTGCTCAGAGTCGCTCATGGGCATGCAGACCCCGCCCTGGTCACCCCCTGCCCTGGGTACCCACTCAAGACCGCGCCCCCGTATTGTCTTTGGGTCCAGCCAAGACCCACCCGGCTGCGCACTTTCCACTTGCGTGAACTCTAACAGCCCCCCCCAATCCTCCTGATAAGCGGCTTCATCCTGGAAAATGCTCGTGATGTGACGCGCCGAGTGGGAGTAACTTTCTCCCCCCTTTTTGCCCCCTCCACTCAGCCGCGTTGCCATAGTGACACTGGCGCTGCCAGTTCGTCCTGCACCCGGGCTCCACAGGGGAAAGTTTAGGGGGCCGTTCGCACCCATGATGGAGCAGCAGCTGGATCGCTGCTGGGCAAGACGGACGCCCCAGCCCCGAGGCCTCAGCTCTGTCCCCTCAGAGGGCCCCGCGTGGTCTCCCAGCCAGAGAGAAGGTGATGGCGGGGGCTTCTCCGGCTTCCCAGTCAGTCCCCAGTCCCGGCCACCAAACTCTACTGGCCAGCTGCCCGGGCTCCCCTGAGAACAGGCTCCCTGTCCATCCGTCCGTCCAGCACCCGGGCCGGCGCCCCTGTTGAGACCCTGTTGGGGAGTTGGATGGGGACCCCAGGCTCTACAGCCACGTGCTCCCTGGACAGGGCTCTCCAGGACAGCCCCTCCCTGCTGCTGTGACTGCTGGGCAGTCAGCGCTGCCCTCTGCAAGGCCCAGCAGGGCACCCCTCGCCCTACAGGCACCAGAGCGGGTCCAGCTAGACACCAGGCCCCTGGCCTTGCCCCTCAAGCCCTGTCGCCTGCCCTGCAGCTGGGCAGCGCCGTCCTCCCCAGGGAGAGGCCACGGGGTGACGGGACCCTCCGGGCAGGGGAAGGGGGACCGGCGGGCAGAGGGTGACCAGGTCTGTGTTTCAGATGCAGCCCTTCGACCTCCTGGGCATCACCATCAAGTCCCTGGCCGAGATAGAGAAGGAGGTGAGTGAGCCCGTCCCTGGGGCTGGGGGGCGACGTCACCCACCAGGGTCTCTGCTGCAGGTACCCCCCACCCCAGAATGGAGCTTTGCTTCCACAGGACTCGAGTCTTAGATGCTTTGACCCCACTAATCTCTCAGCATCTCTCTCTCTCTCTCTCTTCTCTCTCTCTCTCTCTCTTTCTCTCTCTCCCCCTCTCTGCCCCCTTCTCCCTCCCTCCCCCTCCCCCTCTCCTCTCTCATGCAGGGTAGGGCACAGGGCCAAGGCTTTCCTCCCCCGCCTGGTTTTCAGTTCTGTTTTATTACTCACCAGCAGTTGGGGGGTTGGGCTGAGGAAGGCAGAGCCCATGTGATGGCCGTGTGGTTCTGCACTGTTCTAGGTCTGCTTTATCTCTACTGGAAGAGTGAAGGGCAGGGGCCAGTGGTCAGGAGTCAGGGCCCTGGGGCAGCTTCAGGGTGCTTGGACCTGGGCTAGGCACAAGGACCCCGCTGCCCTGCATGCCCCTCCCCAGTGTTCTAGAGGTGGCCGTGCGGTCACATGCTCACAGCCAACCCCCCCCCCCCCCGCCCCCTGTCGGGGACTGTACACTCAGCCCTTGGGGCTGGCTCGTGTGTGCTCAAATGGGGACCCCAACTGGGGTCAGCTCTAGCCTCAGGCTGGGGGACGGGGAGCTGGCCGGGCTGGCGTCTGCATGGACGGGCTTTGTGGTAACTCTAAAGAGAGGTGGGGGGTCCCCAGAACCGCCTCAGAGCAAGCCCTGTGCAGGCTGGCCTTGGGCGGTAGTGCCCTGCAGGGGACAGTGACCTGCATAGACACCGAAGCCCGCCCGCTGCCCACCCAGGGCTGGGGTCAGCAGGAGACTGTGGGAACAGAACTCACCCGGCTGGGCATCCGACTCCAGGGTGGACTGGGTGGGGGCAGTTCCCCAGAGCCCCTGCTGGACGGCTCACCTGGGCCCCAGCAGCCCCTACTCCTGCTCTGGCCCCCACCACCCCCACCCCAAGTCCTGCTGCTCCCCCCGTTCCCAGGGCAGAGTGAGATCCTGGGGCTGGAGTGAGAGCACAGCGGGGAGGGCGCTGGCCTGGCACAGGGCCAACCTGGGCTCAATCCCTGGCACCCCGTAGGGTCCCCCGAGCACCTCCAGGAGTGATTCCCTGAGCACAGAGCCAGGAGGAACCCCTGAGCACTGCTGGGTGTGACCCCGAAACATGAGAAAGAGAGAAAGGAACCAGAGCGGGTCCAGCTAGACACCAGGCTAGGCCGAAGAGACCCCCCCGAAGTCACAGGATGAGGCAGAATAAGACGACACCCCAAACCTCCCGCCAAGAAGCCCACCCAGTCCCGCTCTGGGCTCTCGGTCGTGGAGGAGATCCCTGCCCCCTCCCCGTACCCTGTACCCCCACCCATCTGAGCAGCCCCCCTCCTCCTGCTGTCAGCTGGGGAGAGGACAGAAATGCCCCCCCAGCATCCCCAGGGATCCGCCAAGATCCCCGCCCCCAGGGGGCGGGAGGCCGCGGGGGGTGGGGGGGGTGGGGGGCGCTGGACTGCACCCGGACCTGCCGAGCCTGAGGGGTGGTCCCTGCTTGGTCTGGGACTTGCTGTGGTCACCGGAAGGTCGGGGTCAGCCCTGAGCAGCCGGCAGTCGTGGGGCCTCTGTCTCCTCTCTCAGCTTCCACTCACCCTCGGGTGCCAGGTTGGGGCACCCACTTTGCTCACGTGAACTTGCATGTATCCCTTTTGTACCGTCAAGCCCGGGACTACGGGTTCCCCAGCGGCAAGACGGAGAGACACGAGCACCATAAAAGCAGGAGGAGTTTTATTCCAGTATGCCGAGGGCCAGCTGTCTCACCCACAGAGTGGTCTCTTGGCAGCGACCCCGACTTCAGGCAGCAAGTAGTTGGTGTAGGGTTTGATACGTAAGCAGTACATGCCTTATTGTTTCAGAAAAAAACCTTCCCTATTTGCCAAACAAAGGTGTTTGGGCAAGTGTGTAGGGTAACCGTGGCCAGGCAATGGTTAAACGATAGTTTCCAGTAACAGCTCATGGTTACATAAGCTACTCATTCTTTTAGGGTTAACGAAAGACAATTTCTGGGGCATTTCGACTGGGGAGGCCTAGTGATTGATGGAGCCCACTTGCTGGGCCCAGGAACTTTCCCAGGGGGGTTCAGGTTGGTCAGTTACACATGGTCTCATTGCTGAGAACCCGAGACTCAGTTCCCGGAATTGAACCTGAGGCCTAGCTGATCTTGCTGATTGCTGCTGCCTGTCATGGCGTCAGTTTGGCCCTCACAGTACCATGACCAACATCTCCCCCTCCTGAGCCTGTCCCCTCCTTTCAGGGGTCCACTTGGGTCTCCACCGTGAGAGGCTGAGAGGGCTTTAGAGCTGGCCCTGGCCCAAGGCAGCACCCAGTTCTGTCAGAGAATGGGGCACATTTCCTCCCCAGCCCTGATGGGCAGGAGGTGGAGAGTCTGGACTTAAGCCCTGGCCTTGGCGGGCCCCTGGGTGAACCCACCGGCTGGGGTTCCAAAGGGTGCACCCCCACCCCGCTGCCGCATAGCCAGCCCCTGGCTCTGATCAACCACAGAGGGAGGGAAGGGGGAAGGGAAGGGGGGGGAGGGGCCTCCGCACCCCAGCATCTGATCAGCAGACACTGCTGCCCGGGGTGGGGTGCTCTGGGCTGCAGTGTGGGGTGAGTGTGAAGCTTGTGGCTGGGGCTCGTGGACCTCAACATGGGGTGAAGGTTCCAGGCGAGGGTTGGCCTCCAGGCCCGGAGCCGCCGTCTTTGCTCCCGTTTTGTCTTGGCGGTGACAAGCCCCAGGTTCGAGGCATGCCAGGTGAGCACTTTCCCTGGAGCCACCTCCCTCCCTCAGCAGTAGTTCCTTCACCCCCCCACCCCCCCACCCGTGCCCTGAGTCTTGTCTGAGGGAGACCCTGGGTTGCGTTTGCTCCCTGGCACAGTGAAAAATGGTAAAACCTCTACTAGAAAGAAAAGGCTCAGAAACACTCAGCCAGGGTTCTGAAGGGAAAACGCACAGCACCACGGCTGCTGCGTCTGTCCTGCCGCACCTCCCCAGGCCCCCAAAGCACGGCCATGGTGGGGCGGCACCTCCCCCTACCTCCCCTCCCCTTCCCCCCCCCCCCCCCCCCCGCAGCCGCTTGCCTGCACCGGGCCACAGGGGTCTAGACACATTGGCCTTCAGCCTGGGGGTGGGGGGAGCTTTGCTGCCCAGGGCCTGGCCCCCTCCCCCTGGGAGTGGACGCAGCTGGCCGGGCTTGGGTTGGCGGGAGGCGGGTGCTGACCTGGGCTGTCCACCCCCGCCCTCGCCCCTCCAACGGCCACAGCGCCCTCTCCTCCTCGCTCAAACAAAAGCTTTTCTCTGCTCCCTGCAAGTGTGATCTGGTGATGGAGCAGCTTCTCTCCCAGTGTGAGGATGGGCTTATAAATATTCCCCCGTCTCTGCCACTCTATTTCCCTGGTACACCAACACCCTCCCTCCCCACCCGGATCTGATGGATTCCCGGGACTCCGCCGGGCTGGGCAGCGGTGGGAGCCTCAGATCCACACCCAGACATCGGGGTCAGGTTCCTGTCCCTGCCCACCGGGCGGCCAGTAGCAGGGCTGTCCCCGGCCCTATCTCCACCCCTACGTGGTGATGGCCTGAGGAGGCCTGTCCGTGGCTCTCAATTTCACGCCCCTGGCAGACAGTCAGTCCGCCTTTAATACAAACAGGAGCCAGGCGGACAGACAGACACCCAGAACGCCCAGCCCGCTGCAAAGCCATGTCCACCTGCATCCATCACGTCCCGCTCTGGGTCACTCGACCCCCCGACCCGCCGCCCAGCCACCAGCCTCCATTTCCAACCCGGTTCCGGAGCTGGAAGACAGGGTGTAATTAGTAAAGGGCCGATCTGATATTAATCACTCCCTTAAAATTGACAAGGGAGACCGTTCATTTAACCACTTAATTGCTACAGGTTTTTATGGGCTGCGGTTTGCAGGCGTAGCGAGGGAAGAAGAAGTTATAAATCCGAGGGAGTTTAAAATTTTAATTTTCTACCTAAATATTTTCCTTGTTCCCGGGTTTGTCCTCAATCCTCGGGAGCGCAGTCACGTGGAATGTTCCTTAAATGAACATATTTGCTAACTGGCGTGATTTCAGTTTTTAAAACATTGGTTCCAGCAATTAGGCGTTTTTTTTTTTTCTCCCAGTTCCCAAATGACTAGAGAAATTCGTCTTGATTATAATTGCTCTTAGCCACGCATATCTAATTTGTGTCTTTTTAAGTGTTAATTAGTAAACAGTTTGAGCTGACATCTTTATGTGTTTGTGTGTTGAAAAATGGGGCCTATTGCTTAGCAAGCTTGGGGCCGATTCCGCTGGCGTTGACGTCGCGACATTGAGGTGGAATTAATGGCAGCAGGGGAGCAGGAGGTGAAAAGAATTTCCGAATTTCGCCTTTGGACCTGGGCGCCCCCCAACTCCCTGCTCCCCACCCCCTCTACACACACACACACACAAACACACACACGCACGCACGCCTTCTCCCGGGGTCCCGGGAGTGGACTGGGGGGAGCCCACATCTGCGGGCAGAAGATTTCTGTGTCAGTAATGAAATGGCAGAGTCCCAATTCTATAAAAGCGAACTGTTCATCCGCCAGCTCCGAGGGGCGGTGCTCTGCTAGGGGCGAGCCGGCCTGGTGCTCATTAAGGCCCGGGAGCCGCCAGGCCCGGCACGCGCGGTCCTCCCGCACCATCTAGTGGGCAGGCCGGGGACTGCAGGCGAACCACTAAATAAGGCCAAACCGGCTTTATTTTCCACACAGTCTAAGCCAGGCGCGGGCCCGTTTTTTTTTTTTGTTTGTTTGTGTTTTGTTTTGGTTTGGTTTTTTTTTTTGCAGCGGCGACAGCCCGGGTGCCTTCCTGCCCGCCCTGGAGAAACGGGGCTGCAGGGGAGCGAGATCTGCCGGCCTCGCCCATTGGACACGAGCTCGGTAG